CGGGGGGGGGGGCAGTAGGCCCCCCCCCCCTTATTCTCACTATGGCCCCCACCCGCCGCCCAGGGGTGGGGACGGGGGGGGCAATAGGTCCCCCCCCCATTCTCCTTATGGCCCCCACCCGCCGCCCAGGGGTGGGGGCCGGGGGGGGGCAGTAGGTCATTTGGTCTCCCCCCCCTTATTTTATTTTAGGGCCCCCACCCGTCGTTTAGGCTGCTCACTGTTTACCAGACATGCCCCTACTCGCAGTATAGCGAGTAGGGGCATATTACTTACTAATATTAAGTAATTTTTACTTAGTATTAGTAAAGTTGGCTGAAAGACCAATTTAGGTCTTTCAGCCTTTTAGTAGATAACTCCCTGATACCGTGGGAATTAGGGAGTTATCTACTAAGCGGCTGCAAAATGCAGCCATAGCAGTGAATAGGATTGGAGTTTCATTCATTCGAATGAAATTCTGATCCGAATAAAGTGCCGAATTGCGTTCTAAAAGAAACGAACAGACTGTTCTCATTCAGTTAGAACGCAATTCGGCAGTTTTGTGGAAAGTGACAGGAAGCATTGTGGGAACACTGAGGAAAGCTAGGGATCATGGGAAAATTGCTCTGACCAGCGGAAATGAAGCACACTTTGCTCCTCCGCTGGTCAGAGCTGGTCAAGCGGAGGAATCCTCCATAAAGGCAAAGAGTCCCTACTTTGTCTTATGATTTTAAAGAAAACTAATGAAGACAGGAAGAAAAGAATAACAGATCCTGAGAGAGGGGGAGAAGAGGAAGAGATTGAGGAAAGGTAAGTTCGGCATGACAGTGCCGCTTTAAGATAAATGTCATGACATTTTCAATTTTTTTCCAAGTATATTACGTTCAATGAAACAATGATTTTTTTTTTTTTTTTAAAGATGCATACTAAGAAAATGTCACTTTATCTGGCTGAGCAATCGTGTTGGATAAGATGCTACGGTTATCGCGCCTCAATCTAACTTGCCTGCTGCTGCAGTTTCACATAGAGCAATCACAACAGCAGGCAACATAGAGTGGGTAGCAGCTGGTTAGATAACAGTAGCGTGGCTGTTCAACCTGATTAAATGTTACATGTTCTTTAAAAAAATTTTTTTACAAAATACAATATATATATATATATATATATATATATAATCCGTCATTTACTAAAAAGTTAACCCCAGATCGCCGCAATTGCGGGGTTAGCGGTGCTCCGGTCTGCCTCTGTATTAGAGACAGACAGGGAGCACCCGATCGGGCTGTCCCAGCTGACAGAGCTGTCAGAGCTAGCACATGTGCTGTATATACTCATCTTCCGCCTCTCTGCACTTCCGGGTTCTGTGTGAAGTGCAGGGAGACGGATCAGTGCTGCTGATCTTCTCCCTGTGTAAAAAAAAAATAAAAAATAAAGTTTAATTCCACCCCCCTTAAATAAAATTAACCCCTTCCCTGCCAATTGATCACTGACTACAGTGATCAATTGTCAGGGTATACATTTTAATGTCATCTGATTTATTTTTATTTTTTTTAACCCCTGAGGGTTAATTATTTTTTTAACCCTCAGGGGTTAAATTTATTTTATTAATTAATTTAAATATTTAAAAATTATATATTTAGCTAGCTGGGATGGGTGGAAGTTAGTGGGGAATTGGGGAATTTGGTGTTAGGCTAACTAGGGGTTAACGTTAAAAAAGTTTTAAAATAAGCTTTAAAAAGGTAAAAAAAAGTTTTAAAAAAATGTTTTAGTAACGTTTAAGTAAAAAAAAAAAAAATACCACCCCCTTTACCCAGTCTAAATAAAAATTAACCCCTTCCCTGCCAGTTGATCACTGCCTACAGTGATCAAAATACAGATCACAGTATTATACTGTAATCTAATTTCTTTTAACCCTTGAGGATTAACTTTTATTTATTTTTAAACCCTCAGGGGGTTCAAATTTATTTAATTAATTTAAATATTTTATAATTATATATATTTTGCTAGCTGGAGTGCGTGGGAGTTATGGGAAAGGGGGGGATTTACTGTTAGTGCTGCTTACTGCTAGTTAGGGGTTAACGGTAAAAGAAAAGTTTAAAAAAAATTTTAAAAGTGTAAAAAAAGTTAAGAAAGTGTAAAACATTTAATAAGTAAAAAAAAGTTTAAAAAACGGGTTTTACAAAGTAAAAAAAGTTTTACAAAGTAAAAAAAAAAAAAAAAAAAACATTAAAAAATGCTCATTACCACTACACTTGGTACAAGCTAGCGGAAAAATGATCCCACGCTAAGGTTCAAAATATGCCTTTTGAATTACCCTACTCGTTTTCCTGGCACTATAGTGCCCTGAGGGTGCCCCCACCCTCAGGGACCCCCTCCCGCCCGGCTCTGGAAGGGGGAAAGGGGTTAACTTACCTTTTTCCAGCGCTGGGCGGAGCTCTCTCCCCCTCTCCTGGCCTGGACTCCGCTGAACGCCGGCCGCTGCGCCAGCCAGCTCGATTCGGCATAGCGGTGGTTTACGGGCAGGCAATGGACGCTATGCGCGTCTACCGTGAAAATCACAGTGAGAAGCACGTTTCTCTAGTGGCTGTCAATGACAGCCGCACTAGAGGATTAGGGGGAAGGCTTAACCCATTCATAAACATAGCAGTTTCTCTGAAACTGCTATGTTTATAAAATAATGGGTTAACCCTAGAAGGACCTGGCACCCAGACCACTTCATTAAGCTGAAGTGGTCTGGGTGCCTAGAGTGGTCCTTTAGGAAATGGTATAACTTTAAGGGGTAATTGGATTATTTAGCCTTGAAATATACTCTAAAATGGGACATGGACACAGCGTAAAAATTCAAAGTTTGAAAATAAAAAAACCTGGAATGTCTGTGTCTCAAATGTGCCCCTTCAATGTCCACGTATACCTGGCAAAGGTACATACGGGGGTATTGCTGTACTCAGCCGACATAGCTGAGCAACATGTAAAGTATTATACAGTCGTAGCACACATACAATTTGCAAAATATACTGTGCAAACTCACTTTGTGTGTCGAAAAGTCAAAAAAACAAAAACGCTTATTACCACTACACTTGGTACAAGCTAGTGGAAAAATTATCCCACGCCAACGTAAAAATATGCCTTTTGAAATACCCTGGGATGTGTTCTTTAAGAAATGGTATGCCTTTATGGTGTAGTTGTAATATGTAGCCTGCTCAAGTGCTCCAAAGTGGGACACGGACGCATCAAAATCCTCCATGAAAATTCACACTTAAAAACCTTAACTTGTCACGTTTCTTTTACAGCATTGTAACTTCACAAAATATTGTCTTGGTCATACATTGGGCATATTGTTTTACTCAGAAGATGTAACTTAGCATAATTTGGGGGGGTTTGAACTTAGTGGCACATATGAAATGTACAAAATGCCCAGCAAAAATGTAATCCGTATGTAAAAAATGCCTAAAATTATTTTTTACCACATATTGGTGAAAAAAAATGGGGCATGTTAAGGCACAATATGCACCATATGAGATACCCTGGCATGTCTACTTTTACAAATGGTAGGCCTTTGTGGGGGGTTTTTGAACAGTCAAACTGCCCCAAATACCCCAAATTGAAGCATAGGCCCATTAAATCCGCCTCTCAAAATTCAACTGTAAATGTTGAAACGGACAGGTCTCCTATATGGCACTGTAGCTTCACAAAATAGTGCCAAAGACAAACAATGGGGGTATTGTTGTACTCAGCAGAAGTAACTGAACACAAAATAAAACTTTGTACAGGAATAGCACACACCAACTTTATAAAATACACATGAGAAGTTCTTTGTTACAAGTTTGCGTGCCAAAAACCCCCAAAAACTACTTTATATAAATATATACTTTTGTGTGGCAATTTTGTTTTCTTTTATGGCTATTAAGCTTACAAGACAAACATACCAAATTCTAAAATCGCTCCACACTAAAAGTTTATTTTACTCCTTGTGCTTTGTGACTTGTAACTACCAAAAAAAAATTTAAATCCCAGACACATTATATATTCTCTAAATCAGAACTAAATGAATTTATTTTTAAATTACTTTCTTTAAAGGACCACTCTAGGCACCCAGACCACTTCAGCTTAATGAAATGGCCTGGGTGCCAGGTCCTTCTAGGGTTAACCCATTTTTTTATAAACATAGCAGTTTCAGAGAAACTTCTATGTTTATGAATGGGTTAAGCCTTCCCCCTAATCCTCTAGTGGCTGTCTCATTGACAGCCACTAGAGGCGCTTGCGTGCTTCTCACTGTGATTTTCACAGTGAGAGCACGCAAGCGTCCATAGAAAAGCATTGTAAATGCTTTCCTATGCGACGGGCTGAATGCGCGCGCAGCTCTTGCCGCACGTGCGCATTCAGCCCAGGAGGAGGAGAGAAGGAGGAGAGCTCTACGCCCAGTGCTGGAAAAAGGTAAGTTTAAACACCTTTCCCCCTTCCAGAGCCGGGCGGGAGGGGGACCCTGAGGGTGGGGGCACCCTCAGGGCACTATAGTGCCAGGAAAACGAGTATGTTTTCCTGGCACTATAGTGGTCCTTTAAGGGGTTAAAGGTAATAAACTTCTAGAAGAATGTTGTGCCATTGGTAGTTTGCCCCTGATATAGTTGGTCATGAAATGGTCTTGGCCCAGGTAGACCAATTATTCAATAGCACTCTGATTTAACCGTGTAGAAGACAAATACAGTGCTAACATTTTGTAAATTGACCACAATCTAATGTTTTGCTTCTCACACAAAAAATATTTTACATAAAGAAAGTTTGCCTGTTCTCTCAGTGGACACAAGAAGCCTAAAAATGGCATACAACATTCACACTGGCAATGTGTTGGCCTACATTATTCTGATGAAAAATGCAAACCAATAATTCACATAACCCACGCAACCTGCAAAATAATAAGAACACAAAACATAATCATGTATGCAAACTACATTTTCGAAGTTGTGTGTGTGTTTTATTCTGAAATTCCACTGAACTTACTGATAACACATCAAGGTGTTAGAAAAAGAGTGTGTTTACATTTGGATCAGCAGCTTCTCTCTCTGCAATGTTACACAATACAGGTGACAGAACCAGAAAATGTATGTTTATTCTTTCTTGCAGTCGGTTTATGTCACGTGTTCACATTGAGCAATGCACAGAACGGACAATACATTATTTTGCTTTTTTTTTTTTTTTTTATAGACACCAGAAGTATTCTCACATTCTTCTTAGGGGAATACTGAACGTGCAAAATTGTGGCCATGAAATGCAGGGTGGCAATGCAAAAAAGCGCTATATGGATGTTTTTGAGTTGATATATATATATATAGATATATATTTTATTATTATTATTATTATTATTATTAGCACTGTTTTGTTTCCAAGAGATCACTCACCCATTCACCATTTGATCAATAAATCTGCGATAGATAAAACCTAGAAGTGGATCTAAAGCAGGTTTATTAGGTAGCTTACTTAATAAAGCTACAGCGGACTACAATTCCCATGATGCTCAGCAGTCATTTCCCAGCTGCAGTGAGGCAGCCATAGGTTAGCCTGCACTATATAAGGATGGCAGCAAGTCACCCTGCGCTCGCTGTGGCCGGTGTCACTGCTCCCCTCACCCACCCCGTGCTGTCACTCAGGCCGCCCCTGTCCTGTCTCCCGGCAGTTACCGTGCTGCTCGCCGCTGTCTCCGCTGGACACTGGCGCCATGTTTCTCGACGTTGAGGGACTCAAAGTTCGTGGCGCCAAAACCCGACACAAGACAGTGCAGGACCACACAGAGCCCAGGAACCAGCGCGCCGCAATCGAACTGGCGCGACGGAGTCAACCAATCACAGCAAGGCACCAGGCGCTCCACCAATCGGAAGTGTGTGCGACTAGAGAGCCCGCGCGGTGACGTCAGCCCGTTGTGGGAGTGAGAGCTGCGTGCGCGCTGGCTGTGGTGCTGAGAGCGGCGATCGTTGCAGTGAGGGCAGAGTGTGCGCGAAATCTGACGTGAGGGCACTGCGTGATTTACCTCAGAGCTGTGCGGAGTCAGTGTGTGTGTGCGTGTAACAGCCTTAAAGGGACACTATAGACACCAGAACAGCTACAGCTTAATGTCATTGTCCAGGTGTCTGTAATCAGTCCCTGCAGGCTTTTTAATGTAAACACTGCCTTTTCCTGTCTAAATGGACATCAGGGCCAATGTATGGTTCTGTATATAAATAGGTTTCCAGACAATGGTTTGTATTTGGCCCAAATATATTTGTATAATGCTATCGTATTCCCACTGCGGCAACGTTTTTCTAAAATAAAAATATTTACATTTCTTAAATACTAAAATGTTCAGTTCTTTTTATTAATTTTGGAGCTCATATCTGCACCTTTTTCTAGTACCATAATGTCCTTTTTTTAGAACAGGCCCCCAAAATTGTATAGAATATTCAAGGTGTAGACTAACCATTGATTTATAAATTATATCAAGTCTATTTGCGGTATTCCCCATGTCCTCACTACCTGTAGGAAGATTTCCCTGTTTAGAGACCATTCCCTTGGCTCTATACTTGCTCTGCTCAGGATGTCTGCTAAGGTATATTCTGTTCCTGGTAAGTATACCGCTTTTAGGTCTTTCAGGTGAATCATGGCCCAATGCATAATTGGTTGTAGTTGCAAAAGCAGCCGATGGCTCTTTGTGCCTCCTTGGTGGTTCAGGTAAGCAGCAACCACCCTGTTGTCTGTTCTTATCAACAGCCTCGTCCCCTTCAGGTAAGTGGCAAAAGACATCAGTGCCTTGAAGACTGCCCCATCTCCAGGATGTTGGAGTGAAGAAGATGGGTCTGGTTGTTCCATACTCCTTGCGCAACAGGGTTCTTGTAGTGAGCTCCCCATCCTCTTGTAATTGCATCTGTAGTAATGACTTCCCATTGTGGATCTTCCTGGGGAAAACCCTTGGTCAAGTTGGATCCTTCTATCCACCACCTTAGTTGAAACTTCAGGTCGTGGGGAATTATGGTCCATTGATCCCAGTTCATTGCTGGCTTGTTGATCTGTGTGAGGAAGTTCATCTGAGCCTGTCTCGCCTTCCAATGTGCCCATCTGACCAAACCTGTGGTCGACGTGAGGGATACCAGGACACTCCCATAATCTTTTGCTCGAAGTCTTGTCCTTGGAAGTATTCCTAAAATCTTGCCCTTGATCCGAGCATTGCGATCTTGGGATAGAGAGATAGTTGAAGCTTCTGTGTTTATATTCGCTACAAGGAACACTGTGTCTGTATGAAATTGTCATGGGTGGCGGTCTGGAGACCGGGACAACTGAATGCCTGATGATGTGGGGAGTCTCAGCGTGGTAATGGACCATCAGAGCCTGGTGCAGGGTAACCACACGCCCCCTGATGTTGAGCACCAGCGTTTGTGCGGCCACATACCAGGGCCCTGATGCAGCTACTGTGGAACTCAAGAGCAATGAACTTGATGTATATGCAGACCTCCCAGGAACTGGATAGGGGGGCTCTGCAGCAGACATGTATTCAGAAGAGAAACAAGGCAAGACTAGGACAGGCACCTAACAAGAAAACAAGACAAGACTAGAAGAACCCAGAACCAGAGCAGGACAGAAAGCAGAACCCAGAACATGTACACAAGACATGAGGGAAACATGAACAGTGTGGTATTCCTGTGCTACTACAAGGATATCGTCCAAGTAGTGGAATACTTGGATTCCTCTTTTTCTTAGTATTGCAATGACTGTTATGAGAACCTTCGAGAATGTTCTTGGTGCCAAGCTTAGACCAAATGGCATGCCCTGGAACTGATAGCGTTTTCCCGACATCCAGAACCTCAGGAACTTCTGATGGGATGGATGTATCGGTATCTGGTAGTATGCATCTTTCAGATCTATCGATGTTAGCCACTCGCCCTGATGTATGGCCTGCTTTATGGATGTGATAGACTCCATCTTGAAAGACGTTCTTGAGATATAGATTTATTCTTTTCAGGTCCAAAATAAGTCTCCATTTTCCGTTTGGTTTGGGAGCCAAAAATAAATTTGAATAGAATCATCTGCATTCCTCCATTCGAAGAACTTGCTTGATAACCCCTTGAGTGATCAACTGCTGAAGGCAGTTCTCCATTGCCTTCCGTTTTACGCCTGCCGACACCCTTGATCGATGAAACATTAAATTAATTCTTTTGTAGCCGTCTTTGATTTTGTTAAACTTGTCCCTGTACGATGCACTGTGGGGTCTTCTGTTTGACTTTTTTCCCATCTGCGGCTTTCTGAATGGCATCATCCAGGACTTTACCAAATAATCTTTCCCCTTGGAAAGGTAATGCACAAAGGCTGGCTTTGGAGGCGTAGTCCGCTCCCCAGGAATGGAGCCACAGTGCTCTTCTACCTGCCACAGATAACACAAGGCTTTTTGACAGAGATTTTGTGACATCTAAAGCAGATTCAGAAAAGAAGTCTGTTGCGAGTTTTGTGTCTTTCAGGGATTCCAGTAAGTTCTCTCTGCTTGTGCCACTGGTTTTGTCTTCTTCTAGATTCCCAATCCAGACCTTAATGCTTCTGGCTACTGACATTAAAGCTGCCGCCGTATGTAATCCCAAACCAATTGCCAGATATTGTTTAACCAGATTAGAGTCCATTCTTTTTTCCATAGGCTCTTTCAGGTACGCCATGCTATCAATAGGAAGTATGGTCTTTTTTTACTAATTGGATCACACCTTTTTTTTTTCTAGATAGGCTTCCAAGGGAGGTGGAAGAAGAATCCATCTAATATAAACAATGTAACTAATTATAACAATTCAAGAAATATTTAAATATTTCACATGCAATTTTAGAAAATTTTCAGCTTTAACTAACCTTGTGGATGAATGCAGAAAGCCAAGGCAGTTTACACTTGAATTTTTACACTTGAAACGCTTGAATTTTTTACATTTCCCGGGTAAAATCTAGCTGCTGTATACTTTTATACCACTAGTTGGCGCCCGCGCGGCTATAAGAACTTACCGCACATGCACGAGAGTCCCGCGGCTAAGGTGCTGGAGCTTCCATCGCCGAAAACTGCACGCCAGCCGAATACAGGAACCATGCCCTGCTGGACCCTGTGGAATCACTGGAAACGGTAAGATGGCTTCCCACTCTCCCTAGACAGGGGTAAAAACGAACTGTTAGACACCTGTCTAGTCCTTCCTGCTGGGGATGATAGAGTTGGTGATCTGTCCCACGGTGGAGTCTCTTTTGCTAAAAAGAGACTCAAACCAGTTTGTGCTGCCAGCGCAATCCGTTTACTGCTTTCTTCAGTGGGAGAGAGGCTGAACTCCCCCTGGAAGATACATGTTAAACACGGTAGTGAGCCCCCCCAAAAATTGTTTAAAGGGACCTCAAAAATCACTGTCTGTCAACTGAAACAGGAAAAAAAGACTGAGGGGTTTAGAGGGGAGGGGGCTTTTATTGGATTTATTTATTGGCTGGGAGGAGGAGCTAACCCATATGTGATGCTGCAATGTATGGCCAGGAAAATTAATGGAGAGTGAATTGTGAAGGAGAGTATGTGCAACTCACCGATATGGAATAGAACTAGACACGTAAGAAATATTGAAAATATCACAGTATCATGTATAAGCTGTAAGTACAAAAAGGATACATGTAGGAAGTAGTGGCAGAAACCATAACACACCATAATTTATTATGCCTGTTGCTGCTGCACCTCAGTTGGCATCCTATTATCCTTGATTCACGGCCAGGGATCTTGCAGTGATTGTTCTGGCATTCCAAGATGGCAGCCACTGCATGAGGAGACTTGTCTGCAGGTCAGAAGTTGGAGGAGGTGTGGCTGAGGAGCGGAGCCAGGACAATGATGCTGATGCAAGATGGGGCTGAGTCCCACAGTGAGTCACATTGACCTCAGGTAATGCCTCCTACAGGTGAGACCTGGTTATGGGATTGAGCCACTTTATAAGGAAAGCACACCTTTCAGTCAGTGCTTGATTTGTTTTTTTGCCTGCCTTAGAACTCTAGCATTTGTTTCCCTGTGTTTCCTGTCCTTGTTGGTTTCCGAACTTTGCCTTCTCTTTGAATTTTGATGATTGCAACCAGCCCTGACCCCTGGACCATCTGACTCTGCTTTCTGCCTGACCCTTCTTCGGATACCTTTGCCTTGGATTTTCTTTTATTTCTATTAAAGCCCCCGTGCCATCACTAACATAGAAACATAGAATGTGACGGCAGATAAGAACCATTCGGCCCATCTAGTCTGCCCAATTTTCTAAATACTTTCATTAGTCCCTGGCCTTATCTTATAGTTAGGATAGCCTTATGCCTATCCCACGCATGCTTAAACTCCTTTACTGTGTTAACCTCTACCACTTCAGCTGGAAGGCTATTCCATGCATCCACTACCCTCTCAGTAAAAGTAATACTTCCTGATATTATTTTTAAACCTTTGTCCCTCTAATTTAAGACTATGTCCTCTTGTTGTGGTAGTTTTTCTTCTTTTAAATATAGTCTCCTCCTTTACTATGTTGATTCCTTTTATGTATTTAAATGTTTCTATCATATCCCCCCTGTCTCGTCTTTCCTCCAAGCTATACATGTTAAGATCCTTTAACCTTTCCTGGTAAGTTTTATCCCGCAATCCATGAACCAGTTTAGTAGCCCTTCTCTGAACCCTCTCTAAGGTATCAATATCCTTCTGATACCAATATCCTAACCTGACAGAATCCTGTTCTCAACCTCAGGACCTCTGTGGATCATGCTTGTAAGGAAGAGCTGTTACTGCACCTGAGTTCCAGGACTGAACATGACCCCAGTGGATTGTTACAGACTACTATGCTATGAAATACAATAACCTCTAATACAGAATACTAAAGAGAGCTAATTAACTATTTACTATCAAGGAAGCAATTCAAATGGTTAATTTTGTTTAACCCTGTGGAAAACAACGTGTCCAATGTAAAGATCCAGTAAGATTATTTTCTCAGCAGGTTGGTGGGGGTACCCCCTCATGGAGATAGCAATACATGGCCAATGCCCATGACACTTGCTTCATCAGAGTATTTCCTATCTGTTGAAAGTGGCCAACAGCTGAGCGGAGTGGCTTTCAAGTGTAGAAGATCTTATAGCCAAATAATGGCCATGGATCCTTTTTGGCAAGTGATTGGAGGTATTTCCAAAGTAGGTTCATCCACATGTACTTTGTAACTTGTACACTTCAATTTTTTAATGCATGTTATCAAATGTATAATTTAATGCTATATTGCCTGCCGTTATGTGGGTGGTAGAATATTTTTATGGGGGATATATTATTATTATTATTATTTTATAATTTATAAAGCACCAACAAATTCCATAGCTCTGTACAATGGACATATGACTGGATGTGACCCAGCCAAGACAACGGTAACAGCCCGGTGTATTGTGGTTAGAGGGTGTGATGACATCAGTGTGTACCAGAATATTTTTGAGATTAAGATTGCATTTATAGATAATGAGGGGTGGGTTGTTAAAGATCGAAGGAAATGTCAAATCGCTATCAAAGATACCCAATTTATGTACACTATCCTGATGGTTTTTAGATACTTTCATAAAAGTCTGTGGGAACACCAGTCTGCATAGGTGGGTCAATTCACGAGGCATATTGGCATTAGATTGTTTTGTTGCTCTAATCAGGGCTCATTCTAAGGAGTCCTCTTTATATCCTTGTGGTAAAAATTACATTTTCATAATTCCCAGTTGTGTATTTCTGAGTTTGAGCAATTATGTATATGTATATATGTATATGTAGAAAGGCCATTAGGCCTGAATTTGTGGGAGGAGTAAGTCCCCTACTTAAACTCCCAGCCCTTACTCACCTCTGCCGGTAAAGTTGATTGTTGTATCTCCATAGCAACCAGCACTTCCAGTCTGAGCTTCCCGCCAAACAGCTCCGATCTCCAGCAGCAGAGGTGTCCAGCTGAATCCTCCGTCTGTTCTGCAGCCATCCCACTCGGCTTCTCCCTGGTCGCAGTATTTGGCTTCCGGTCACGAGACCGGCACGTTCACGTAAGCTTGTGAGGGAAATAGCTTTCAGCTATTTCCCTCCGTTCGGTCCTAAAAACGTAGAGGTAGGCTCCCCTTTTTACTTATACATTACCTGTTCGTGCATACTTACCTGTTCATGAACTTCCGCGTTCGTGCGTCTAAATTAGATGAATGCTGGCTATACTTACGTTTCGTGGGTCCTTCGTATGGTCTAAACTGCTGTTCGGGTAAACTCTAGTGCAATTTCAACTATGTACATATATACTTACCCGTTCGTTCATTTAGCAATTCGTGCAATATTCTTTTCACCCCTCGCATACTTACCCGTTTGTGCACTACTTCTATTCGTGTGGAATTAGGCAAATGCACAATATACTTAGCTTCAGTGGGTCCCCCGTGCGGTCTCAACTGCTGACCCCTGTTCGTGCAAATATCAGCTTTTTGTTCATACGAACTAAACAATCATTTATTTATATATACTTCCCGTTCGGTTACTTAACTGTTAGATTTTATTAACTAATACTGATTTAATACTGTTTATAACTACAACCATTTACTATTACCTCTGTGGCTCTTGGTTTAATTATGTTTATATATAAATTATGACACTTTATCTCAGTACTCGGTTATTTATTCCAAGGCCCTTTGGAGTTAACCCTCTGTGTTTTAGGTACGTTATACACTTAATAACTTCTTCCTGACACCCTACTACTTTGGCAGCGTTTTTCAACTCCACGCCAACCCTGTACGCCATCACAAACGTATATATTAACGTATAGCACAATCCTCAGGGGGAATTTTGCAAACCCTACTTTTCTTAGTAGTCGCTATTTCTCTTTAGTTTACGCAGACATTAATTTTAGCCTCTGTTACATTTCTTTGATCTCCACAGATTGCCCGTTTGTCTTGTATTTCTGCATAAAGTTGTCAAATTCAAGCTCTTGTATTTACAATTCAGGTATAGTATTTACTCACTTCTGTTCAATGATGTCAAGGCCTCAGGCAGCCTTCACTCTAAACTTGTCACAAACGGAATTTGTTAATTAAAATATAATGTCATAACCATTGCTAATTTTAATAACATACAATGGCTTTTATCCATAGCTCCAACACTATTCTAGGCCTCCTCCGGTTTTCTCCATAAAAAAACACTTACGCTCATCCAAGTACCAGTACAACAAATCAAGGTATAGTACTCTACTCATTACGGGGCTTTTTATACAAGACCCGACACGGTCTCTATTATCACGATTATCACACAGTCCTACGTCCTTGTTTTGTTAAATTTTTCTACTTAGGCCTACGTTCATACTGCCATCAGGCAAGAACTTACCCAACCTACCTACCCCGCTACATTACCAGGTATTTGCGTTCTTACTCGTTAATAGCACTTGCTACCATAAGGCCTCAATCAGCCTCCCTCTATAGCATAAACTCGTCCCAGTCTCAGACTAATCATTCAGATCCCTCACCTCAGGATCTCACGTTGCGCTCCTATAGCCACCCCTTACTACTAAGCATACGCCCCTGCGCTACGCTCAAACACATCAACATCTGTCTTAACCCTTAGGCTTCTTCTATGATTCCAGCAGCGGCCAAGCCACTCTACTTAAAAAACACTCGAAGGTTCAAGTTACCGGTTATAACCACTATCAAGGTTAGTATCCACTCATTACACCATAATTGCCATTTAACCCATAAAAAGCAAGTGAACTGGCTTACAGGGTCTAGGCTCTGGCCCTAGCTCACCCAAGTAAATTCCAGTCCAGCGAGGCCATCTCCCACCTCAACACGGAGGTACGGCCCCACACCCAAATCATAGTTAGATGCCTCGTTCGCCCTTCTACAGGGCTGCAGTCAGGGCCTCACTTTTCACGGCCACACGTTTGAATCTCCTTAACAGTCATCGAGAGGCCAACATCCCGCCACCTCATCTGTGGCAACAAACTTCCCTCGGCCAAATCATAGATGGAGCCTCTCACTGCCACTTGGCACTAGCAGGGCCTCACTTGTTACTAGTTCACAGTTAGGTTTTTCACTTTGGCACTAGCCTTACAGTCCAGTTCCCCTAAGGAACCCCCCCACATACCACCCTCTGTCCCCTCCTTCGCCCTACTAAATCTAATTCACCAATTCATTTCTAGAATGTCTCAAGAACCAGCCCCCACCAACGATTTGTCTGCCGAAGAGATCCCGTTCACTATCAGACCAGAGTCTCCAGGCGAATCTCTCACCCCCTCTACTCCCACGTCCTTGAGAGCATGGACTATTCCTAAAATTACGGCTGAACTTAGGCTAAGGGGCATCCCCTTTACCGCTATGGCTAGAAAGGCGGAACTCTACAGACTCTTGACCAATCAGGCCCCGGCAGTCAGGTCCCAGCAGTCTCTGCTACAACACCACACTCCCCTATACATCCCCATCCAGCACCAGCCACAGTTACTTCACCTTTTGTGTCACCAGCACACTCCGTTCCAGACTCCATTAGGAAAGAAATCCTAGATGGGAAGGATGTGTGTCTGGTGTCACTGCTTATATCCTCACAAGATGTGCTGGAGAACCGGGCATATAATTACGGGCATATATCAGAGGTGCTTAAAACCAGAGATCCCAGGCTTAACAAAAAACTATCAATACCACCGTTCGTAATAGCCTTTGGGATATACCGCAATGTCATTTGCTCTGTATATCCCCACAGAAGAGAGGAACTAGACCTCTATCTGCATAAAGTGGTGGATTTGGGCATCAAGTACGGGGGCTCATCTTTTTATGATTATCACAAATCCGTATCAGCGAAGGCGGCGACCCATCTGAAGCAGTTTAACATTAGAATTAACTGGTGTCAGTTGGATAATGAATTATTCTGTCGCCACTTCGCCGGTCTGAGGCCCCCGTCTTGTGCCGTATGTAATTCCACATCCCATACGGCAGATTTGTGCCCCTCTGAAGCTGATCCATCCACCTCCACTCCCACCCCTCAAACCACTTTCACCCCTCACACTAAACAAGCGGGTGGTCAACAGGATAAACTGGGTAGACCCATCTCCTTCCTAGGCAAAGCACAGGTGTGCAACAATTTTAAGGCCAGGTCCTGCAGGTTCAGAGCCTGTAGGTTGTTGCACATCTGCTCTATCTGCTTCAGGGCACACACAAAGACCATGTGCCAGCTCAGGTTGACCCCTAACAAATGACTAACCGACATTAATGTCGACAACCTGTTTTTTTATTTGAGACCTCATCCAAGCAGGCATTTGGTGGAGTATTTGACCACGGGGTTAACACAGGGTTTTCTCACGGGTCTCGTAGCCATCCCCCCCAGGCACGCTTGAATGTCCCAACCTCTTGTCATCCTGCCAAGACCTATTATCCACAGACACTCTTCTTTCCTCCAAAATCTCACACAGTTTCATGATCGGCTCCTTCACCTCCTCACCTTTTTCCTCCTGGTGCACTAATCCCATTGGTATAGCTGTGCACAAATACTCTAATAAAAAACGTCTATCGATTTATCGGCACCGCACGCCTTATTTGTTCCCAGCATTAACTCACTCGTACCAGCAGAAGAATTTTCATTACAGTACGTTAAAATTGGCGATGCTATACAATCCATCATTTCAACTGGTAGAAACGCTTGGCTCAGCAAAACGGACATTACAAACGCATTCAAATTGCTACCCATGCACCCATCACTCTGGCATCTGCACGGTGTTAAATGGCGAGACAGATACTATTTCTCCACACGCCTCACTTTCGGGTCTAGAAGCAGCCTCAAACTGTTTGATATATTTGCAGAAACACTATGCTGGCTGCTTCTAAACGTTCTCAGGTGTCACTCAGTCATTCACTATTTGGATGACTTCCTACTGATAGAACCAGGCGCACGTACACCCATTAATATCCTCAGCACTTCATCACTTTTTTTCCTCACTCAGGGTACCCTTATCACCCTCCAAAACCATCGGCCCCACTAACAAACTTACCTTCTTGGGGATCGAGCTGGACTCTGGTACCTTCCGAGCCAGCCTTCCCCCCGACAAATTGGTCCGCTTGAGAGGGGAGGTAGACATGTTCCTGCGGAGTGATTCATGCACCAGAAAGGAACTTCAGTCCCTATTGGGGTCCCTGAATTTTGCAATGTGCATCATTCCGCAGGGTAGGTCTTTCGTATCCAGGCTTCTCAGTCTGTTTCACGGGGTACCAGACTCCTGCCCAATTTCTTTGGATCAGCAAGCCAAGGCTGACTTACTCATGTGGGGGAAGTTTTTGGCTGAGTGGAACGGTATCTCCATGTTTATCCCCCCTCTCTCCGACTCCTCACCCATCATTCACACAGACGCTGCAGCCAACACGGGTTTCGCAGGTATCACTGGTTCAGGGGTCACTGGCCTACTGAGACGGATGCCTTGCCAGGATTCAGGGAGACTTCAGCCCTATTTGAAATTTATCCCATAGTGGCGGCTGCACACACTTGGAGTCATCTCTGGTCCGGCACGGCAGTAAAATGCTATTCTGACAACTCGGCAGCTTGCGATATCATAAACAAGGGGTGCTCATCCTCCCTCACCATCATGCGGCTGCTTCGCAAGCTGACCTGGCTGGCAGCAACCATCCAGTTCCACTTAGTCTGTTTTCACATCCCGAGTATCCACAACACGGTCGCTGACGCTCTGTCTCGTTCTCAATTCCAGGTATTCTTCCAGGCACTCCCTACGGCCAACCACCAGCCATCCAAGACACCGCGGTTTTACAAACTAATCCTGGATTAAACGCACTAATGCACACACTTGGTCTCTCACACACCAAGCACTATCACCTAACACAGCTCACACACCAAGCAGTATCACCTAACACAAATGGCACTTACCATTTTTAATAAATTCACAGCAGATTTCGGATTACAAGGTGATTTTTCTACTCAAACCATGGTGGCTTTTGCCTCCTTCTGCCACTTACATTTAAAACTTTCTCACAATACCATTAAACTATACCTCACGAGGGTTCAGCACCACAGTCTCACTAATTTCCCTAACAACACCCCCTTCTTGTCATCATACCCCATCAAGAAAGTCTTAAAGGGTATCTCAAAGGTTTCTGTGCCACTTACCACTACCAGGCTACCAATAGATGGGCCTATTTTTAGATTGCTCAGCAATCTACTTGATGAATCCCCATTCGATCCCAACACAAACCTGGTGATCAAGTATGCCATTTATCTAGCTTTTTATGGTTTCCTTAGACCCGGAAAGTTCACCGTTGTTTGTCAAGGGGATATCTCACACAGCCTTAAAACCTCACACCTCACTAAGGTGGAAGATCACTACGTACTCACGCTCCCATCTACCAAAACTAATCACTCACTACACCCCACTATTATTCCCCTTTTTCCCACAGATAATGCTTGGTGTCCGGTTAAGGCACTAGACCATCTACGGTCAACTCATCACACGCACTTACCAGACTCTCCGCTCTTATTACTACAAGGGCACCCACTCACCACTGCTAAATTCACAACGCACGTCAGAACCTTACTGGCAAAACTGGGTTACAACCCGGCTTCGTTCTCCGGTCACTCCTTCCACATAGGAGCCGCTTCATCAGCCTCTAGTACAAACACCCCGGTTCACATCATCAAGAGACTGGGTCGATGGAAATCCTCCATATACCATAAGTACATACCACGACCAGAAAGAGAGCTTCGCCAAGCCTTCAGGAATTTGGTTATGTACTAAATGCAATAAAGTGTGTTTTTCTTGAACTTCTCTTTGCCCTCTTTTATTTACAGGCCCACTCGTACGTTGGTTTTCGGCACACTACAAACCAACTTTCCTCTCAGACACTATCCATTACGTATTAAATTCCAAGCACAAGTAGAAAGGCCATTAGGCCTGAATTTGTGGGAGGAGTAAGTGCCCTACATACACTCCCAGCACCTACTCACCTCTGCCGGTAAAGTTGATTGTCCCCACCCACCTTCACCCTTATAGCATTACAACTCTCCTTGGTGGGCCCTCTTTTGTTTACAGGCCCACTCGCACGTTGGTTTTCGGCACACCACAAACCAACTTTCATCTCAGATAGTATCCATTACGTATTAAATTCCGAGCACTAATATATATATATATATATATATATATATATATATATAAAGAAAAAAACACTGTACCTTGCACTCAAACTCCATATTTCCAAACCGGGTGCACTCCCAGGGCTCCAAATATCCAAATAACTGTGTCAAAGGTTGCACTCACGGATTCATTAAAAAATAACTTTTATTAAATATTCCTAAAAAATTGACGTGTCAGTCCTATTCAAGGACTTTCATCAGGATTATGAAAAATTTTTTGTTTTCATAATCCTGATGAAAGTCCTTGAATAGGACTGAAACGTCGATTTTTTTGGAATATTTAATAAAAGTTATTTTTTAATGAATCCGTGAGTGCAACCTTTGACACAGTTATTTATTTATTTATTTTTATATATATATATATATATATATATCATTTCATTATAAGTGTATTTATAAATTATATATAATATTTTATTAATTATATATTGGGGTACCCACCTGACAACCCAGGCAGAATTTATTTTTCAAGTCCTATATTTGATCCCGTAAACTTCCAAATTCCCCATACTGTTGTACTTGTGAGGATCACTAAACACAAATATGAGTTTAGAGCAGTAAAACATATAATGATGATGATATCATAGTGAAAGTGCGACATATGTGTGAAAAATGCTAAAACAAATGTGAAGAATAACTTTGGCCAGGGTTTGTGACTAAGTGTCTACTAAAAAAGAATAGGCATAACCCATTTTTAATACCCTGAGTTGTCTACTTTTGCAAATGGAATGCCATGATGGGGGTAATTTTCATTCCTGGGCTGCCATACGTTCTCAAAGGCAACATGGACCCAGCAAACCAATCTGGCAAATTTCAATGTGTAAAAACTAAGATGGGCAAGCTCTTATTTGACCCTGCAATTTTCCAAAACACCATGAAACATGTACATGGGGGGGGATTGTTGTACTTGTGGGACGCCATAGTATACAAATATGTGTACTTTATTGCAGTAAAAGTATTATGACATTTACAGTTAAAATGCAGTGCAATAACATTTCTTAATTTACACTTTTTTAGATTTCATTTATTTTAAATTATGTTTCACATATAAATATTTATTGTGAAAGAAGAGCCCTATTTCTCCTGAAAAAAAGGATGTATAATAAGTGTGGGTGCACGTAATTTGAAAGAGGTAAATTATGGCTGAACAGACTTGTAGCTTAAATTCTAGGTTTTGTTTGGTTAGAACTGGAAAATTAAAGATAAGCATTATGTAAATGTATATTAATTATCTACTTTATGAGAAGCCAAATGTTGACCACACTAAAGTATACAATAAGATGGTGTCCATGTTCAATAAAGGTAATCCAAATATTATTCACCTCTTTAATGCATTAAAAAAGTATAGACAGGCAATACCAATGAGTGATCACAATGGGGCGGAGCCTAGCGCTTGAACAAAATGGCCTCAACATATTAAAGCTCCTGCAAGGGGAAACAAAAGTCGACCTGAAACAGACCCTAAAGCACAACATCGAAGGTGTAAAATACCCACCTCAACACACCTGGAGACGAGCCACAAGCAGATGCCTTTCTTATTCCCGCAATCCAGCAGAAAAACCCGACAGAGATCTTGGGCCTACCCCGAGCCTCACACCACATGGGCAACGCTGGAAATACTTGAGTGGCTGGAGTCATACATATACTCCCCTCCATACCAGACCACGCACCTCCCGCGGGTCACCAAAAACATGGGCAGAAGAACCCAAAAGACACCACTAAGTGCACACAAAGACACCCATGATACAGGTGCCATGCTACAGTGCCCCAACGTCGCAAAGATTGCGACCGAGTCAGAGCAACTTGAAGGCTCGTGCGGCCATGAGGGACCCGAAGAGAGGCCCACAGAAACCACAGCAGTATTATAATGTCAACTGCATACAACAGATCCAGCAGTTGGATCCAACCTAACCCCAGCTACAAAACAAGACATAGCAGACTTATTACAAGAAATGAGGCAGCTGCATACCGCAGACTTAGACCTACTTAAAACAGAAATTATGGCGGTCTCGGCACGCACACAGGCCACCAAGGAGGACGTCCTGGATTTGAGGCAAGAGGTCCAAGGCCTAAAAGAAGCCTTACACCAACTACAAAACTCTCAGGCCACGCTAACAACCAGGTTGGACCAAGCTGAGGACCGCCACAGGCGGGTAAACATCAAGATCTGGGGTATACCCGACTCTGTTGGCCTAACAGAACTACCCCACTACCTTAGGTGGCTCACCACCTCCATCATGCTGTATGCTCAAGCAAAGAAACTCACCTTTGAAGGCTTCTTCCACATCCCGAAACCGAGGCAAGCACCACCAAGAGCCTCGCAGGATGTTATCGTCCGATGCCACTCGACCAATGACAAGATTCAAATTATGACCGCGGTCCGGGTAAGACCCCACTCAACTTCGAGGCCGCTCAACTCACCTTCTATCAAGATATAACCCACACCACACTACTTTGGCGCCGATCAATGGCCCCAGTGACAAGAAAGCTTCGCAATGCGGGCATTGAATACCGGTGGGCACTACCGCGCACCCTGTTAGTCACCAGAAACGGGAGCACGAAGAGATTGTCCACGCTGAAAGATGCAGCCTCCTACCTCCAGACCCTGGGGTTTCCTGCAACGGACACGGATAGAGTAACCCCATCAATACGTAGTTTTGTCTCGTTATTGGAGGGAACTGCTATAATCACACTGGGGATTGCTAGGCTCTGCATACTCCCTTAAGCTTTTAATCACTTAGCTCTTTTAAGAGCTGTTCCTGTTACGCTCTCCCGGAGGAGAGGTCTTCCCCACACGGTCCTGGAGGACAGAAGCTGATCCAGAGTGGACAGAAGACGGCGAGACTCCAGTTAAGCTGCGGTGGTTGTGGTGTCCGGTGCGGTGCTTGTGGTCCTCGGTGCAAGCTAGGAAGCCTCCATCAACGGAGGGTACTCGGTCGGAGTACAGGGAGCTCCGTTACACACATCACTTGAAGGCTCCCGTTATGCTTTAATTTGTTTTAATTTGTTTTCAATATGTTATAATATGTTCTGCTCCACCAATGTACAGAGACTCCCACAAACAATATACACACACACCAGATAAGAGACACACAACAGACACTAACTCACCCGACTACCGCTGGACGCCAGGCACCCAACTGACATGTAAACCCCACTTCAGCAGGACCTATGCACCAAACCAGGGAGCTTCCCTCATCCGCTAGACAATCACCGGCAATATCACCTCCCCCCGCACTTTCCCCCAAGGTTAGGAGACCCACACACACGACTCGATGCACCACAACAGACCTACAGGACCCTTGCAGGACCTTAGCCACTGGCAACAAGATAGCCCCTAAACCCGGCTACGCTGGCGCACATAACCAACGCACGGCTACACACTCACGTCCAACAAACAAGGGCACTGCGGCATCTCTCGAGGCGCGCCTCACAGGACCCCAACGGGAGATAGGGCCCCCATGCAGGCACCATACACACTAAACACCTCAAACCGAGCACACCTCTCTAAAGGACGACACAGCAGCAAACCCACGGTACCTACCTGGATGACAGACGTACAAATCTCATTCGCTGCCAATGAGAAACGGGCAACTAGCTCGGACAGGCACACAACCTACAGATGGCACACACATACCATCACCTGGCAACAGACCAAACAACCAGTCTCACTTTCTTAGCATAAAAATACCAATTTATTATGTAACTGCAAATGATAACTATTTATACGTTTCTTCAGAATGTAAATGTTTAACTTCCTGCTGCAGATTGCACGTGAAAAATAAAGAATTAAAAATAAAAATAAAAAATAAAGCGTGATCACAGCAGTATTATGATGTCAAGTTAGAAGACAATACTTTCTCAAGATCAAAGCCACAAGCTGAGCCTTTATAGCAACTGCGTGGGTTCACTGACCCTATCATTTTAAACCTGCAATGTAAAACATGCAGTTTTTTTTGAACCTGCAATGTGTCAAGGTTCAAAAAAAGGGGACTGTGGCCCAACACGCAGAATCAAGTCAACTAGAAAAACATATTACCGGTCTTTAGAATGGTCGGACTAAACGTAGAAAGAATAGTCAGAAACAAGCCGAAGTCTGGGGCACAGACAAAAGCAAAAACGAGTAGACAAAGCCAAAGGGTCAGGGATACCAGAAATATGAATAGTCAGAATAAGCGAAGATCAAAAACCAGGAATCAATAAACCAAAAGCGGTCTCGGACACACAAAGAAATGGAAACCACAACAGGGCAAGGAAGAAATAAAGAAATGGACTTATATAGCCCTATCCAACAGGGGCGTACCTAGAGCATGTGGCACCCGGGGCGGGTCCTGGGTTTGGCACCCCCCGCCCCCACCCTCCAAAAAACAAAGCAAAACACCTACTAAATTTTTTAAATGTGTTGATCAAATTTGTAAACTTTTTCAAACCCCTGCCCCCTTCTACAAAATCCCTGCACTCCCTCACACACAGTTACATGC